CCACAAGTCCTCCTGTTCTTCTTTTTGCGGATACAGACTAACACGGCTGCTACTCTGAAACCTTTCATAAGGAAGTATGTCTTCACACAACACACAGTCAACCTATGGAACTTGTTGCCAGGGGATGATGCGAAGGCCAAAAGTATAACTCAGTTCACAAAAGAATTAGATAAGTTAATGGAGGATAGGTCCATCAATGAGTATTAGCCAAGTTAGTCAGGGATGCAACCCCATGATCTGAGTGTTCCTAAACCTATGACTGCTGGAAACTGGCACTGAATGTCAGGGGATGGATCACTCAGTAATTGCCCTGTTCATTTTCCACTGAGACATCTGGCACCAGCCACAGTTCTCAGTCTATATGAAAACCAGATACAATGTAAGCAGTCATTTTAACTTTCTGTACACTGTATTTGCCTTTTATATGAATCATGGATTGGAAAGCATGCCTTCTGAAGCAGTCAGATGTCCAGTAATTGACTCTGTATCTTAACTCATAAAATAAAACCTGGGCTTTTGCTGTGAAGAAACTGTTAAATGTACCAAGCAGCACTGAATAACTGAGTAATTTTTGTGGTTTGGATCTAACTGAAACTGACTGAGGAGAGGTCTTTTGGAATAGATTTTCAATAGAGGATGTCTGAGACACATTTTAGAAAGCCTCTGCAGGATATAAATGATTTTTCTCATATTTTTCATTCTTCCACTCTAAACAGGAATTCCACAGCAATGAATGAAACAGATGTTAGAGCGATCACAGTACAATGTTGACATAAATGTCAGAATCTGGACATGGCCTTGGAAATTTAGAGGACGGTTTCTTTCAGTCAGTTGTGTTTAGAGCTTCTAGTGTGATTTTAAGTCTATATTACTTGCAGATATGAAAAAGAAACTAGTGAGGTGAATTCCAAAGTAACTATCTACAGGTTCTTGAAATAATTAACAGCAACCTGTAAAAGCCAACAGGATAGAGTCTTCAGGGTAAATGTAATTCAATCCAGAATTGTCCATACCTTTAGGGGCATGTCTAAGGCTTTGATTTGCTGCAGGGATTCCATTGTTCTTTTTACAAGTACTATAATAAAGACATAAAAGTTTGAATATATTCATCTTTAATTTCTAATTTAGAACTATTATATAGAAAGAAAATACCATGCTGTGTAATACTTTATTTGTGTCATGCTGAATAAAATCTTTACTCCTAGACTGAATACACATTTGACTATTCAAAAATTACTCTTGTATATCAAACAAAGAAATAAAATGGAAATCCTTTTCTGTTGTGGAAGAGTCCAGTTACTTTTAAATAAAACTTGTATTCAATTTCCATGAAATTAGCAATTTTAGAGACAATTTTTAAAATATCTTCTCATATCTATAATATTCTTAATTAAAAATAATTCTTTGAAGTTTGAAACTCAAGAAATATCAAAGCACAGCACTTCTAAGAGACATAAGTATGTAGAGAATGTCGGATTGTTGTAGTTCAAAGTTGTATGGGTTGCCATTTCTTTCCTAATAAAGTATGGTTAAATTTTAAATATGTGAAACTGGGTCTAAAACAAAACTAACAAAAACAATAATAAATTTTAGACAGGCTGTGTCACTAAAGATTGGAGCTCTCTTATTCTGTGAATCAAAGAGACCAATGCCAGCTAAACAATCCTCCATGTGAAATACCTGGGCTGTTGCTGTTACCACCGCCACAACATTGTCTGTGCGCAACACTGGCTTTAGTCTATGTCTTGTGAAATCCTAATCCATGCTTAATCTTCTCTCTCTCAAAAGCTTGGTGTACACTACAGAGTTAGGTCGACATAAGGCAGTTTATGTCGACCTAACTATGTCAGTGTCTACACTACAATCTTGCTCCTGCCGATGTAAGTGCCCTACTACACCAACATAATAACTCCACCTCCACGAGAGGCATAGGGCTAAAGTTGATGTAGTTAGGGCGATGCGGTATCTGTGTAGATGTTGCGTTACCTACACTGTCTGTTGGTTAAAATTCAGAATAAATATACTTACTGAAGAAGTTATAAATAGGTGCAAAGAGAAGGAATGAATGTTGATGTGGAACAAAAGCTTGCTTGTACCCATTACATTGAAGAATTTGTTCAAAAAGCTTTAATCCATTACAGAGTATGAAAAATAAAATTCTTAGAGAAGGGAAACTGTAACTTTCTTGTGAAGGCCAGTTCCTCCTTTTCACCTTCCAATTATTGTAGCCCTCTTTTGAACATGTACCTTTTCTCATACAGTTGGCAAGTTTCCCAAGACGTGCATCAAATTATAGCTAAGTAAATAATGATTACACAGAATTTGGCCATAAGCCTACTATTTTTATTCACATTAAATAAATCCTAAAACACTGTAATTGAGAACTGTGATAACTAAAGACAAAGTCTTGAGTCATCACACCAACTGTGCTTTAAAAGGAGATGGCTATGTTCAGTCTGATTTTTCTGGTATGTGTTGGTTTGTTTATTTGTTTTACATTTAAAACAATTATTTCTGTTGAAAATGTTTTACCTTTTGAAATGTATGAAATATTACCCAAATCTACATGTATTGTACTTGCCAAATATAATATAAAAATAAATGCAAGGACAAGAAATTTCTTGATTCAGTCCTTCTACCAAAAATGCACAGACAGAACGTAATTCTAAAAATGGCCATACAATTATCTTAACTTGTGCTATTGCACACCACAGATAAGGTAGTAAAAAAAAGAAGTTTATATAAAAATGCACAGAAGGTATTTTTGGTGGTAAATGCCCTTCAGCTTAATTGCACTGCTCAGTAATGGGTATAATGAGGTATGAATAGGAGTTGTGGGGGCAAGCAACTTAATTAATTTTAAGATAGCTGAACAAATTTATAAGTGCAATTGTATGTGACAGGGTTGTTTGCGATGGTAGGAAGCAGACCTCAGCAGTCCTGGGACTCACTTCCCATTTATATCTTATGGGGTTCGTATAAGCTCATGCTTCAGGGTTTCAGCCATCCACTGCCAGGAGTCAGGAAGGGATTTCCCCTCCCCCCATTGTATTCTGGGTTGATTTTTTTCAATCCCCTTCCTCTGAAGCATATGAGATGGCCATAGCTGGAGATGGGACATTGGGCCTGGTGGGCCAGGGCTTTGAGGTGGCACCAAGCATCCTCTCTCTCTCTCAGGTACGTAGCTGGCTGGTTGGGAAGGAATTCTCCCCTAGGTCAGATTGGCAGTGACTTGGGGGGGGGAGGGGTTCACCTTCCTCTACAGAGCATGGGTGCAGGTCACTTGCCAGGATTATTTGTATACATATATCAGTTAATGAATTCCCTGCTATTGCAGGGGCCTTATGCACCGGTGCACCTCAGTCCTTCTTATTCTTTGGCTGTGGCACACAATAGTCTAGTGTCCCATGGGCTATAATATTTTGGTCTAATTTCAGTTGTTGGGTTTAGTGTGCAGGTGCTGGAGAGTGTTGGTGGCCCATGATATACAGGAGGTCAGACTAGATGATCTGGTGGTCCCTTCTGGCCTTAAACTCTATGATTCTATATATTCCAAGAGGGAACACTCCTTAGTAATTATTAAAGATAAAACTCACCTCTCAGATCTGCTGGGCATATATGCAGCAGAAAACCAGACCTTACAGTCATAGCCACCTGACTATCCCTATACTGTAAGGAGATTATTTTGTGTTCTTCCAAAACAGGCACAGTCCCACTATAGGCATTAACACATTCAAGGTGAGCACTTATTGCTGAAATGTGTAAGTATGTTGCCACTGACAGCTGTGTGGAGAAAAATAATTCCGTTTCACAGATGTTTTTGATATTTTGAAATGTGGTTTAGTTCCAGTTTGAAACAAAGTCCCAAAATTTCAAAATTCTCTAGGAAAGGGAAAGCTCTGGAGTCCCAAGCCCTAGAGCTACGGCCCCAGAAAGCCTTGGGAATCGGGGCTGAGCTGCGAGTCTGGCAGCTTGGGAGACAGCAGCACTCGCAGGGCTCCCCATCAGGCAGCCAGGTGGGCTGTCGAAGTGATAGAAATCTCGTAGCACCCCCTGCCAGGCAGACTGCTGAGGAGCCGGGGGCAAGGTGGCAGGAAAATAGACAGGTTAGTAGAACATTTTGATTTTGACGAATTGGCATTCTCTAATGGGAAAATCTCTATCTGAGAGTTTCCAAACAACTCTACTGCTATTTCCTCTACTTGGGCAAATAAGATTTAGCACCAAGGATACACCACATCCTTATTGATTAAATGAATTAGGAGGAGCATGACCTAGCCAAATTTGGATATTTTAATGAATGGCAAAACAACCTCTTGTTTGGCTCCTGAAATTAAGGCTTGGCTAGGCCCCTGAATGGAGAAATATACTGCATATATACACACACAAGGATCTGTGAATGTTAGGCCCTGTCTGGAGAATATGCGCCCGCCACACCCAAATACAGCAATTGTCCAGTATGTGACATCACACACCATATGTCTCTGTCCAAACAATAGGAAAATCAACTTACTATATACCCTTTACAGCAGTACACAAAGTTCAAAAGATTCAAAATCATCTGCTGGCCAAAACTTATGTGGTGTATTACTACATTAGACAATCAAATCCAGTCCTCACCTCCTACAGCCCATAAATCCCCAGTAAAATTCCTTGCACTGCTGATGACATTATGTTGGGAACGTATGCATATGGTGAGTGAAGACAATAATAATAATAATCATAGTAATAATACCAAGTTTTTATATACCTATTTCATCAGTAGACCCCAAAGGGAATCACAATCTTTAATGTATTTATCCTCCCAAAACCCCTGAGAGAGAAAGAAATGCTGTTAGATCCATTTTACATGAGACCCAGAGGCTCAGATTTTTAGAAGTGTTTAGGTATTGCTGCATTCAGTATCAGCATCTAACAGATTTAGGAGCCTAAATTTCATTTCCAAAAGGGATTTAGGCTTTTAGGAGTCTAAATCCCATCAATTGTCAATGAGACTTTGGTTCCTAAGTGCCTAAATCCCCTTTGGAAATGAGATTTAGGCACCTAAAACAGTCAGGCATAGCACAACAACACCTAAATACCTTTAGAAATCTGTGCCATAGAGGCTAAGTGACTTGCCCAAGGTCATCTGTAGGGGAACAGGGAATTGAAGCCATCTCCCAAATGCTAGGCTAATGTCCTAACTACTGGACCATCCCTCCACAGGGTGTAATGAACATCTAGCAATCCCTGATGCTTTTCAGAGCACTGACCATCAGTGAGTAAAGAGACATCATCCAGTGACATTCATCTTTGATCCTGTTATAAACTGTCATTTAACTCCGTTACTATCTAGACCAACAACAATTTTTTTTAACTTTGGGGACCCATCTGACCCATTTATTGCGAGCAGTTACAATTCCCCTTTTATATTGGCATATCAATAGTGCTACATGTTCTGCTGCATTTTTCCATATCTTGAAATGTAATTTATGTGGACAGTACGACAAACAAGACCTACACGTAATGAAAAACAGCAGCCATATGTCCTCTGAACACAAATGTCAGGGATGCAAGAACTCACTGCTCTTTGCACGACAGTATTATTTTTAAATAGCAAGTCTTGTAGTTATTTTGACAAATATTCATAATCCTATATATCATGCACTCATCTGGGATGAAGACCAGTGGAGGGATTTTCAGAAGCACTTGAATGAGTTAGGAGCACACGTGTGTTGACTTTCACTGATTTTCAGAAACTCCCACCTTTCATCTGCTACTTTGGTTAGTAGGCCCTTAAAACCATGTTTGCCAACTGGTGTGCCATCAGGCCTGAACAGGTGTGCTGCAGAATTTTTTTTAAAATAACATGTGAGAACAAAAAACCTTCCCTTGTATTTTAATCAGTGTCAGATCTATATCACATTCTGTACTTTTGCTCTCTGGGACAATGCCCCTTTCAAGTATTATGCATGCATCACATTCCATTCCCTAAAAGAGATTAAGATAGCAAATTTGAGTCTTGCAGAGTGGGGGCTGGGGAGAGAGAAGGAAGGGGGGAAAGCTGCCTTCTGATTGGTATCTACCCCACTTCCT